CCTTTTAGCTCAGTAATGAAGTCACTCCTGAGGTTCACCCTTCAGCAAAGATTAGACAACCCCATAAAACAAAACGAGACTAATGGGGCACAACAGCCCAGTGACAAGGACAAGAAGGCAGGAGGGGACAGGAAAGCTGGTAATAGGGAACCCAAGATCGAGAAGAGAGAGTTTTGACATGTCATGGGGTTGTTAACCAATGTCATAAAACAATATGTGTACTGTTTAATGAGAAACTATTCTGTAAACCTTCATCCAAGGTACGATAAAATAAATAACTAAATAAAATTAGGAAATGTGTGCTGCAGGGTTGTATCCTGTCATCATAGCTATTCAATTTGTATGCTGTGCAAATAATCTGAGAAGCTGGAGTATGTAAAGAAGAATAGGGCTTCAGGGTTGAAGGAACACTCATTAACAACCTGCATTATGCAGATGACACAACCTTGTTTGCTGAAAGTGAAGAGGGCTTGAAGCACTTACTGATGAAGATCAAAGACTACAGCCTTCACTATGGATTACACCTCAATATAAAGAAAACAAAACCCCTCACAACTGGACCAGTAAGCAAAATCATGATGAAAAGACTGAAGTTGTCAAGGATTTCATTTTATTTGGATCGACAATCAACACCCATGGAAGCAGCAGTCAGGAAATCAAAACACGCATTGCATTGGGCAAATCCGCTGCAAAAGACCTCTTTAAAGTGTTGAAAAGCAAAGATGTTACCTGAAGACTAAAGTGCACCTGACCCAAGCCATGGTCTTTTCAATCGCTGGACAATGAATAAGGAAGACTGAGGAAGAATTGATGCCTTTGAATTGTGGTGTTGGGGAAGAATACTGAATATACCATGGACTGCCAAAAGAATGAACAAATCTATCTTGGAAGAAGTACAACCAGAATGCTCCTTCGAAGCAAGGATGGCAAGACTATTGCTCATATTACTTTGGACATGTTATCAGGAGGGACCAGTCCCTGGAGAAGGACATCATGCTTGGTAAAGTAGAAGGTCAACAAAAAAGAGGAAGATCCTTAAGGATATGGATTGACCCAGAGACTGCAACAATGGGCTCAAGTGTAACAACAATTGTGAGGATGTGCAGGACCAGGCAGTGTTTCGTTCTGTTGTACACAGGGTCACTGTGAGTCAGAACTGACTTGACAGCACCTAACAACATTTCTGTTACCCCTAAATTATCTTGACCACAGTAAGCAAATATTAAAACCTTTTAAATGTGACTTTTCCCCCAAAGAATCTGTCACCTATTAATTATTATTTACCCCTAATATATAGCTGTTAAATAATGCCTTTTTTTGTATCCTGTGTCTTTCTACTTTTTGTTGTTGGGAATGACTTTTTATGTGTTTATGTCTTTGTAGGCATCCCCTTTATCCAGCCACAGTGAATACGCTCTTTAAAAAAGATCTTTTTCCCACAAACAAGAGTAAAATCATGGAATTCTATCAGCATTTTCAAACTTATGATGAAGGTTTTGAGTATGGGTCCCAGATGCCAGAATGTCTCCTAAGGTAGAGAGTTGTTTTCTGTCATTAATTTATTGACCAAGCTCCTCTCAGCACTCCATACATTTCTCGGTTCTAAACAGACATAACAGCAGTTTAGGTAGAAAGGAGAGAAACTGTTTCTTTATGACCTGTTTGTTTTTGCTGTGTGCAAACTGAGGTAAGAACAGAAAGAGAAAGAGATGGTCTCTTCACCCCTCACCCTTTTTTCTTATTTTGATGAACAAAAAGAAAAACAAAAAGAAATGAAAGAAAGGAAAAGAAATGGAAATAGAATGAAGAATTTATTTTGAGACTTTTTGTCCCATTTGCAGCTTATTATTATCAGAGTTTGGATCCATGCTAACTTCTAATGTCTCAGAATCAGACCTTACCATCCTCATTCTTCCTGAGGCAAAAGTAATCTATACTCCATTTATGTGGTGAACTGTATTTCTCACAGTTGGCTCAGATTAATGTGTATAAAATGGTTCAAATGCAAAGTAACTGAATTTTTTTTAATTTCTTGGCAGTAAGTCTACAATGGTGAGTAGTCAGAAAAGATGAAAAAAGATTGACTGTTTGCTTTACCTGGCTTAACACTGCCAGCAATTGGTTCCTGGACTATGTTTTTATCCTCCCACAGTGTACAACAGTGAAAGTAAAAGCAGACACAGCATGTTGTGGGGCCTTTTTTCTTTTTCAATGCCAATCCTACAGGAATTTAAGCATTTACTCACAAAAGACACTCAAACGTGGCTGCCTCACCCTCTCAATTTTGTTTGTGGGCTAATAAGTTTGAAGGTAGGCCTCTCATGAAATTATAGCTTAAAATGACAAAATTTGAGGAAATAACTATAATTCCATAGACATTCCCCTTTTTATGCTGTGACCTGCTACTCTTAACATACTTTCAAATTAATTTCTACGCATATTTTTTTTATCACTTAGAAACTGGTCAAACTCCAAAAAGTGGCTCCTAGCACTGTTTGAGGAAAAGATTCCAGATATAAAAACTTATAAACCCACAAACGATAATTCCCTGGTGAGTATTCTTTGGCTTTTTTGCTATGATATACGAGATGAAGATAGTAATAAAATATGATTGCTAAAATTAACATATCAAAAAAATAATTCACCATGATCAAGTGGGATTTATACCAGGTATGCAGGGATGGTTCAACGTTAGAAAAACAATCAATGCAATCCATCACATAAATAAAAGACAAGAACCACATGATCTTATCAATTGATGCAAAAAAGGCATTTGACAAAGTCCAACACCCATTCATGAGAAAAACGCTCAACAAAATAGGAATAGAAGGGAAATTCCTCAATATAATCAAGGACATTTATGCAGCCAACAGCCAACCTCATCCTAAATAGAGGACTTTGAAAGCATTCGCCTTGAGAACGGGAACCAGACAAAGATGCCCTTTATCACCACTCTTATTCAACATTGTGCTGGAGGTCCTAGCCAGAGCAATTAGGCTAGAAAAAGAAATAAAAGGCATCGAAATTGGTAGCA